AATCTTTGTCTGCCCTTCGCGCTATTTATGTATACAGTGAAACCCGTTTAGAACGAACCCACATACAGCGAATTATGGTCGATATCGAACTCACGGAAAATTTAAATCAAAATGTATTTAAAAATAACTTTTTATAACAAACAACATATTGGCTATATCAAACTTTTTTCCCCTGGGAAGGCTTCCAAAAACGTGCAAACAATCGTCTTTCAGCCAATGCCTTCGCCCGAAAAAGTGTAGGAAAGAAAAAAAATTCCAAAAGCTCGAGCTGCTAACAAAAATAAGCGAAGAAAAGCGATTCCGAAGGGGCACAAAAAAAAAATCTTTTAAGTGCAAAGCGGTTGCTTACGAAGAAAAGCAACTAAAAAACGGAGATAAGCTAATAAAAAATCTTTCTAGCGCGTTGTTACAAGGCGGAAGCGAAGAGATGAGAAAGAAAGAGAAGTTCTCGCCTCCTCTCCCTTCGCGCCCTGTTTCACCTAAAGTCCTTTAGTTTGACCTAGGGGGCCTTCATGTCCCGCCGAAGAGAACTTGAAGTCACTCTAGTTTGACCCTCTTCACCTCGCGCGTTCACTTGGGGCTTGACACGCCACGCCCCAAGAGGAAATAAACCTATCGCATTTCAGATGCCATAGCATTGTCACATGCCGTTGAAAGCGTCAACCACAGGCAAAGCTTTCTCTCTCTCCCTCCCTCTTCTCGTTAAATTAGTCGTCGTTTGTTGTCGTCATTCTTGTCTCCATTACACTTTCTGTTCACTGTGCGGGCCAGCTAGTTCGCGCCCGAAATGACGACGAAGCAGCGGCAGGCTCTGCCACTTTCCGACAAGGTCGACTTCATCAGTCGTGTAGAGCACGGCGAAAAGAAATCAGACGTTGCCGCCGCCTACGAGATCCCCAAAAGTACGCTGAGTACAATTCTTAAAAACAAGTCTGCCATCCGAGACAAGGCCCGTGAACGGCCAAACGCGGACAGCAGGCGCATCCGCAAGCCGGCGTACGACAAGGTGGAAAAAGCGCTGTACCAATGGTTTTTGGACATTCGTGCGCAAAACCTGCCGGTCTACAGACCGATGTTGCAAAGCAAGGCTAGAGATTTTGCATCCCTCCTGAACGTTGAGGGCTTCACCGCTGGATCTGGGTGGCTGCAGCGAATTAAAGATCGATATTTAATCGTCGGGAAAGTCGTTGCTGGGTTTTGCTATATCGAACTGATCGTAGCGTTTCCTGCTGTTCGTTATAAATGGGTTTCACTGTAATTAGGAATTTCATAGCAATCATCTTTATGCATATCTTCTTGCAGTAGGGCATTCTGTAAGGGATTATTTAGAAAAATACCATTAATTATCTCTCTCTTTTTGCACATTTCGTGTATTTGCCTTCCGATCTATCATGTACGCGCAGAGTCCTTTTTGCCATACCCTGCAACCCGATGTTTCACACTGCCAGTCAGCGAACAAAAAACACGTTTATGCAGACTCAAACGCCCCCGTAGTTTCGAGTATCGTCCTTCCGTGTTGGTCCCAAGCTGTTATGTGAACTTTATTGATCATTGGTCATCATAAAAATATATTTAATTACAGTTGAACCTCGATCAAACAAAGTCACCGGCACCCGCTAATTATTTCGTTAAATCGGGACCTTCGTAAAATCGAGGAAGGAAGACTTCACGCATAGACGGCACGGGGAATCCGAATTTGTTCGTCAAATCGGGAAATTTGTAAAGTCGGGTTTCGTTAAATTGAGGTTCAACTGTACTAACTGAAGAGTCAAGAACATAAATAAAGGATCAACCACCCTAAAGCAATGCCCCACATTATCTGAAAGGTACTCTGCAAATCTTTTCCGGTGTTTTTGTCCTCGACAGGCACGTTGTAAGTAATTTGGGACAGTCTTACACACTTTTCTGATTTTGAAGCTAATTTAAATAGCTATGTGTTCCTCACACATATAACTCCTGAAACATTAAAAGTCTGTTATTGCCTCTTTCATGTGGCAAACAGTACTTTTATGTGTGTGTGGGCTGGACAAAAACAAAGTACACACCAGGGGCCGCGGCGGAACTATGACGATTACGAACGCAAACCGTCAGAAAGTGTCGAATTAAGTACCTGCTATGTCGAGTAGAACATGAAATATTACTTAGTTTTACTTAAGAAAAAACAAATCTTGGAGGACGCTTAAAGCGGAACGCGATAGCGTTAACGAGCCCTGTTGGCATCGCCTTCTCATTCGCCGTGCAAACGTGCCTCGCGTGGCCTAGTTGCGAGTGTGTCTGACTCGCAACCGGAGGGTCGTGGGCTTGAATCCCGCCTAAAAGTTTTAAATTTTTTTTCTTTTGACGCAAAGGAATTACTTTATACTAAAGTGAAATTATTTGAGGCATATGGTGACCTTTAATTGACATTACATGTCATGTTTTAATCACTTTCATTTCACGCGTGATGTCACGTTTCACGTGAGCATTGTGGGTTTGAAATTCCTGCGCGAGGGCATGTAGCTGTGACATCATGACCCTATCGACCAATCAGGATTTTCCAGTCACGCCACCGACATCGGCTTTTTTGCGACGTGAGCTCTTTTAACGCTATCGCATTAAAATAATCAATTAGCAAGGTTGATGCTCTTTTGCAATTAAATTGATCAGCATCTTGTCAAGTACAAACCTCAACAGCCAGGCTATGGCAGCTTATCCTGTATAAGAAAATGTTCACTTGGGCAAACGCTATTTTGTGCCAAATTCAATCTGAGTGCGAAGGTGCATATAGATTAGAGTGAACAATTTCGGTTACTCCTTCCTGCATGCACCGCAGTTGTGAGTGTAAACAGTGTTTGGTTAAAAAAACGAGCATTGGTGATTGCTGCTCGGTGGTACATAAAAAAATAAACTGAAGGGAATTGTCCTAGAACTTTCGTAGCATTTTGAAAATTTCATTGCTTTTAGCTCAGTTGTGTCGTCCTTATGTATATATATATAGGTATATATTGTGAAATGCATTTCGTAGACAACATTTCATGATATATATGGCCACGAGCTGCCTATTTTATGATTTTATGCGATGTAATTAATTTGTTAGTTCAAGGACAGATTCAAGATTTAACTTTTAATACTGCGACACAAAGTTGTACCAATCACGGGTATTTTATGCGACCCACCACACTTTGCGACAACATTTTATACCATGAAAATAGATCAGCTTGAAAACAAAGGGGTGTTGAGTCGCATGAACACGACGTTATCTACGTTAATGTAGATTTTCTTTTAGTGTTGCGTCAAAATTAAATAACTGAATTTCGTATTGTGGTACCTGAAAAAAAAGTGAATTGCATGGACAATAGAAGGAACTATATATAGTTAATCATTTCATGGCATAAATAGCGTATGTTGCCAGAACAACGCGAAAAATATATTGTCAATTTAGCTGTTTAAACCGGTTCGAACCGGTTCAAACCGTTATTTTTTGCTGCTCGGAACTGAACCGGAACTGAACCGAAAGCGTGAACCCGAACCCGAACCGAACCGATAAAAATTTCGGTTCGACACTCTGCCGTGGGATACCGAACGTCTTTTACTAAAGGTACCTTTGGTTAAGGAGCATTAGCTAAAGGTATGTTTTGTCTGCCGTGTGAATGGGGTTACAGTTTTAGACCCTCCAGAGTTCACTTTATACATCTCTACTTTTCACTGCAGCTCATTGGAATCTTTTCGCTTTGTGTAAAAGCTTTTCAGATAAGGCATTACCGTAAAATACCGGGGAAGTGCCACCCTACTTTCTCAAATTTAGGTTAATCTATACTCCGCGACAACTTTTCTTGGCAATGCAGTGGAAGGTACAGCCCCGCGTCCCCTCTCCCATTTTGAGTGTACGCAGGCTCTCCCCCTCCCCCATTTCCGGGGAGAGGAGGAGAGCTTGCGCACACTCAAAATGGGAGAGGGGACGCGGGCCTGTACCTTCCACTGCAATGCCAAGAAAAGTTGTCGCGGAGTATAGACATGGGCGTTTGTTCGGTCCGACCGGGCACTTAATGTATAATTTGCAGAGTTCCCAAGTTAGGGAAATGTTAATAGCGGGCAATTGATTGAAGTAGGTACATCCGTGGTACTTATTTGTAACCAATTCATAATTGTAAGCTTCTGATGTTACGTTTTGATTTACGATTTTGTTACGTGCGCCAGTCAATACTAATTGTGTTTCAGAAAATACCCTGCATTTTGCCACCATAGCAATGTGTCGAGTATGCAGTTATTCCAGTGGCTGTGGAAGAATACCGGTGCATAAAAAAATATTGTTAATTGAATGAGAAATGCTCGTCTGTGAGAGTCAAATTCACACAGGGGCTGCAAATGAATTTCTTTCAAGGTATCGGTCTCTCAATCTGTTGACAGTCTTCATAGGCTTACAAGGGGCTTTGTGGCCAGCGTGTTTTTGGATCTAAGATGATGTGTATGTCTCGATGCAATTTCTGACCAGTCTTTTCTTAATCTGGTCATGGTAAAACTCTGATTTAATAGAGCACTTTTTTTCTTTTTTCAGCAACTTCAAGAGAAGGACCGAGAGCTGGAACGCATCATTCGACTTCAGGAAGAGCAGAAGAAAGCTGAGAAGGAACTGAAAAGGTAAGAAAGATATTTTAGGGCAAATTCAGCCAGGGTGTCGTAAAAATAAAACGGGGCAGTTTTGGGAGCCTCCTTGAAGTAATGTTGGCCGACGTTTTTTCAAGAGTCTAAAATTTCTTTGGGGCACCAGATGACAATTGATCGCACGAATGGATAGGCTATAGGTACAGCGTTAGGGGGGAAGTCGCAATCCCGGTGGTTGGCCATACATGGTCCGGCAAAAAGCACGGGCAAATGTGAGTGTCGGCGTCGTCACGGCGTCCCGACTCCTGGCTGTCGAAGCTTCTGCGAACTGTCAACCTAAAGAACAACCTGCAGCAAAACAGGCGTCTTCCACGTCCACTATCGCTGCCTACGACACTGCCAGGATTGCTGCCGGCGACAGCATGACACTTCTATGACGTTATGAGCGGAAATTAAGGGGGAACATGGGTCTTTGGAGCCAAAAACTTCTTAAAACTGCATTTTTTTTTAAAATGGTGATGGCTGTTGTTCTTTTGAATCTACCAGGCTTATAATTTCGTGGGTGAATATTTGAGCTATAAATCAATTTATAACATCTATGTGGGCTGAATGTGCGTTGAAGTTGATTCTAAAACATTGTTTTCACAAAACACAATTTTTGGACTCTTCGGAAATTTGCTGGAGGGATGTCTCAGCATCTAGAGCAGATAGAAATATAACCGTCCCTGAAATATGTAGCTGAATGTGTGAAGCATACAATGTTGAGAGCAGTTTTTTAAATATAAGTCCTAGAAAATTTTCTATTTGATATTTTGCTTTATTACTTGTTAGCCATCCATTGCACACTGAACTTCAATGTGGGGTAAAATCACTAATATTGAGTTTACCTTAAAAGTGCTTCCAACATTGTATTCTTTACACTTCGTAGTATCTAGCCACATGTTAAAAAGAATATTTTGTTGAGCAGTTTTCCTTCTTTCGTTTTTCAAAACAAAGCCAGGCGAGTTTTAATTATTTTGAGGACAATTCTACTGACAGAACAAAAATGACCAGATATATGAAATCAGCACAAAAAGCTGAACAAGCTTGTGCAGTCTCATTGGGTTTGGTCATAACATAAGAAAAAAAGCTCCAAGACCAGTGGGACCACTTTTTTGGGCTCGGTAAACAAACCAGTTGGAGATGGGTACCCATAGTTATGGGAGACGTGTCTCCCTCTCCCATAACCCATATAGTATTTCTCCATTACCCTCTCACTCACCCATTCCTCTACAATTGCCCTTATGTTCCCATGACATCTGACAATCTAGCACCCCAAAGAAGCCGACTCTTTCTACAAAATGGTGGCTGCCATTCTGAAGCTTCTGGGAGATTCCTTCGCAAGTTCTTACTACCAGCTTTAAAACCTTTGTGTTCTGTTTTAACCTAGGATTGGGTAAACGTCATACATTCAGTTGGGATAGAGCTTTATTATAGACCAACACGCAGCTTTGACGTCACGCCTCTGCGGTGGCGCTGTTGTCGCCACGGCGCCTGCGCAGAAACTTCACCTCGCGCTAATCCGGTTTCTGCGCTTGCGCAATGCCCACACCTAGTGTGGGCGAACGCGAGCTTGTCTGTAAACAGCGTGTCGGTCTATAGGCATTCTTTTTAAGTAAAGTGCCGATCTCAGATGGCCCATTATCTGATTGCCTAGATGAGAGTGAGCCTCATTAATTTGAAGGTTTTTGAACAGGATGAGAGAGGAGCGCAAGCATAAAGAGCAGAAGGAGAAGGAAGAAGCGGAAAGACGGAAAGGAGCTGTTGCGCCCGACAAGGCGTCGGCCAGAACAAGAAAGCAGGTGTCGACTACCGGCGACGTGAGCCAGGGTAGGTTGCCCCGTCTTTCTTTAACGCAGAGTGTGTTTTATCGACTGATTTTCGTGGAGAGCCACGGCGTTCGGGTCTAATGCTTGGCTGTAAAGAAAAACCAACACCAAAAAGCGTTACTCCCATTCGGAATCATATAAAAAAAAGAAAAATTCGGTTTCCGGCAGGTTTTGAATTTGCTATCTTAAAATTGTGAGCCAGACGCTTTATCGACCAGGCTTTCGAGGGTCGGTGGTTGCTCGCATTTAAAAGCAAACTCGGCGCAGAAGCACAGTGCAGTCGCGCGCTTCGCGGCCTTTTTGGTTATGCCACACTATCTCATGGCGTGACAAAAATGGGATTGAATCTTCGTGATCCCTTGCGAGACGGTAGGCAGTGACATTCGGACGCCCTTCCTCTACCATGACCGTGGCTCCTACGAAGCGGACAGCCGCAGAACGTGTGCGAGCTTATCGGGAACTTAAGAAACGGCAGCAGCAGCGGGAGGACCCTTTATCAGGGGCCCCACGGACGAACGCCAACAAGTGGAAGGCCCATCACACATTCTGTGCTTACCAGTCTTGGTCAGCATGATCAAGCCTGTATAATTTCTCTGTTCTTTTTTTACAGCGGAGCTGTTAAGCGCTAGTTTCCCCAGTTTCGTGTCCGTCACCAAATAAATGTTGACACAAAACTCTGGACAGCTACCGCCATCTATGAGCAACGGCTGCAACCAGACAACTGGCTTGCCGGTTGTCTGGTTGCCGTCGTCGCTCATAGAAGGCGGCAAACTTTCCAGCCTTTCCACTCTGGTTTTCACCAGAGTGGAAAGGCTGAATTTTTCTAGGTGTCGTCCTAGAAGTTGCCCTCGAGGTCGTCCTAGAAGTCGTCTTTGAGGTCGTCCTGAACGTCGTCCTTGAGGTCACCTTTGAAGTTTTCCTGGAAGTCGTCCTTGAGGTCGTCCTAGACGCTGTCCTCTAGGTCGTCCTAGAAGTTATCCTTGAGGCCGTCCTAGATGTCGTCCTTGAGGTCGTCCCTGAGGTCGTCCTTGAGGTCGTCCTAGACATCGTCCCTGAGGTCGTCCTAGGCGTCGTCCTCTAGATGTTGTCCTCGAGGTCATCCTAGAAGTTGTCCTAGCCGTAGTTTTTGAGGTCGTCCTAGACTTCATCCTCTAGGCATCGTTCTTGAGGTCGTCCAAGAAGTCGTACTCGAGGTTATCCCATCATAGCACAGCTTTTCTGGTCTTCTTCACCGGAGTGGAAAGGCTGAAAGTTTTTTTTTTAATATCCCATAAAACAGCTCGGTAGATTTACGAGCGTGGAACAAACCCACGTCACTCACCATGTCTCTTAAAAATTAATTGTTTTCTTTCGTACATTGCGCAGCCACCCGATTTACATTGCGCAGCTACCCGATTTACGTTGCATGGTTTCATGACACGACTGTAAGGATGATTGTGTCGCGTCCCATTGAAGTAAGGTCGTGCGACAGGGCCTGGTTGCATCGAGGGTACTCTGGGGAATCCCTGGGGCTGTCCGAAGTACCCTAATGTGCTCCCCGAGCCCCCAAATTTCATAAACTGTCCCCTCCCCTAAGTAAAGCGTTTTTCCTGCTTAAGCACTATCTTAGAAGACCTGAGCCACCCACTAATGCATAACTATTTTCTAAATGTTAATTTATTTTTTTTATTTTTTTCTGTGATGCCAGCCAACGACTGGACAAGGCAGGAATGGGCACATATTAGAAAGAACACTTAATTGTGACAATGCAGACATTCATTACGAGATCAAATTCGAGGCAAGGTTTTCTACAAAACAAAGATGAACAAAGACAACTGTTTCAGGCAGGCTATTCCAATCATCTGTAATCTTATAATAAACGAGAATTTAAAGACATCCGTGAAGTATGTGCAAGGATCAATATGCCTGTTATGTTTCTTTCTAATAATCTTGGAGATTGAACGTTTTATATTATTCTTGTGTATTTCTGTGTGTATCAATAATAATTGAAAAGAATAATTTTATCCAATTTATTATCATGTATTATGAAGAGAACTTTCAGCCTTTCTACTCTGGTGACGAAGGAAGAGCAGCGGAGCTGTAGCTTCTGTTCTCGGTGGTGGCTTTCCAGGCAAGCGATCTGCACTTCTTTCGCAAAAGACTCTGAGGCGCTTGACGGAGTGGAACTTAAGGCGATAGCAGCCCCGCGGCAATTGTGGAAACTTTCGCGCTGCTGCGCACATCGCCGCTTGTTCCGCTCGGTCCGAATCGGACCGAGCGGAACAAGCGGCGATGTGCGGGTCCGAATCGAATTCAAAGCGAATAGTGATTTTGGTCGAATAATTTAGAATTGAATAGTTAGAATAGTACAAGCAAAAAATACTACGAGATATGCTTAAACTATAGTTTTATATTTGCCCTTATTTGGTATTAGATATACTGCAATTGTTAATTTCAAGTGTATCGAGTTCGGTAGCACGAAATGGTTGAAACGGTCGGAAACTTGTGCCACCTGTTCTTAAATCAAAGCCAGAGTAAGTGGAACCCGTTTATATCGACCTCGCAAAAAAACATCTACCAGTTTGATAAGCGGGTATTTCGATATAAAAGTTTTAATGATTTTGACTCTCAAAAATCCACTTTCTGCTGAAATATTACACGATGAAGTCGTCTTGCATCTTCTGCTGCTTTCTCTTCATTGCACCCGCGATAAGGATATTTTTCTGCCCTATCGACGGACTCCAAAATGCTGAGGCCGCTGCCTTCTATATTCGCGCATTAGCGCCGAACTATGCCGAGAGCACGGAGAACGTCCGAGCGGGAGCACCTTCTCCTGCAGTGCGCCGTTTTGCTCTGCAAGTTGGCTTTCCCCTGAAACTAGTGGCTGCGTTGAGGGAAGCAAACTAACAAAACAAGCTGGCTTTTTTTTTTTTTTTCTTCTTCTTTTTTCCTCTGTGCGGTTGTGTCAATTTGGAAGAAAAAATCATATTCTCTTTTGCCGACGGAGCGGGGAGAGGGAGCACAGAGCTCCCTCTCTCCGCAAAAGATATATATTCTTTTCTTCCGGGCAATCAATTCGGCCCACCGGGAAAAAAAAAAAAAAAAAAAGAAGTTAGCGTGCTCTGCAAGCTGGCTTTCCCCCAATGCGGCCGCTCGTGTTGGGGGAAAGCCAGCTTGCAGAGCAAAGCGGCGCTCTTGGCAGTTCAACATATCGGTAGCGGCTGCTATTTTTGTTCGATGCAACCATAGTTTTTGCTATATATTGTCACTGTAACATTACTGTGCACAAAAATTGTTCGATATAAGGAATAATTCGATGTAAACGGGTTCAATACAGTCGGTTATGACTGTATTTAGAAAGGTCGAATAATTCTATATTGTCGAATAATTCGATATTGTCGAATACTTATATTCGATTTGAAGCGAATGCCGAATAGAACAGAATGGGATTGGCTATTCGTAATAACCGAATATTCGCCCATCCCTACTTCCGTGTCCACAGCAAATGTTGAGCGGGCATTCTCGAAATTGCGCATCGTCAACAGGAAGGAGTGGCAGACACGAGCCTAGGAATGTGTGTGTGCATATACTACAATAATCAAGTGTGAAAGGGATTGTGTACGAGATGTAAATAAAATTTAAACTGATTTTCTTCCTCAGTGGGCGTTTACATTCGCAATTTGTTTTCCCACGATAATCACCGTTTCTAGCATCTCCACGAGAAAATTCGCCAAAAAGCACCGGTGTTCTAGAAATAAATAAACAGCGATAAACATCTGCCGAAAATAGAATCAAACTTCTAAATGCAGTTAGTTTCACTCAAGGTGATGCATTTTTTATGGTTCTTCGTAGTGTCCAGAGGCATTGCATGGCCTTTTTGCATATTTTATCAACACAAAGGTTCCACGAGAGGTTCGGAAGAAAAAATAACCTGAGAAACTTTATTCGTTACTTTCTTAAAGGACACATCCAGAGGAAAAAAAAATTCTTTTTAAACAGCCTAGATGGAAAAAGAATGTTATAAAACAAACTTACAACAAAGGAAAAGATTTTTAGAACTATACTTACGGTGCGAACCGAATTTGTAGTTCGCGCCCGCGGGAGCCGTTGCGGGTCACGTGGTAGACCTGTGCGCCGTCGCGCTGTGCCGCCGCCGCCGCATGCTGAGCGTGGTGTGCCGCCGGTTCAATGCGTTTCTTCACACCACAGCCGCCGTCGTCGCGCAAGTTCGTCTACTCCGAGGCGCCGCCGCCGTCATGTAACCGGCGCACTGCTTTATCACGTCTGCTTGCGCTTTTTCAGAAACTTCCTTTGGGCTCTGAAAGTTACTTATTAAGTTCTAAATTTGTTCTATGCCTTTCTTTTTCCACCCAGGCTGTTAAAAAGCAAAGTTTTTTTCCTTTGCATCTGTTCATATTAAGGTTCTTTTAGTGTTTAATGTCATTTGCCAAACATTGCACCCGTTTTTTATATTAACTATAGGCCAATCAATCCAAAGTATACAGTATAGTGTTTAGAGGGCCCGCAGGTTTCTGCACTGCTTTATCACATTAAAGGGATGCTGACCCGAAGTTCGGAGCTCACAAAACAAGGCTGGAGCAATAGGCGGGACGCCACAAAATCCAAAAACATCACTCGTACAGCAGTATCTCTTACGGATGGCCGTATTTTTGGAAAAGCAGTCTCGATTGAATAGGGCCAACAAGGCCGACAAGACATGTGACGTCGCGGTTCTCATTCCCTCTCTTCGCTTTGTCCCCTCCAGCAGGTTGAACCGAAGCGAGGAGGAGAGAAGCGAGGCCGCTTCCCCTCATTCTCAACTGCTTGAAGAGAATCGTGACATCACATTCCTCGCTTTATTGCACCCGTCTTTTCTAGAAATACGCGCATCAGTTTGAGATATCGATGTATGAGTGATATTTTAAAGTTCGTAGCATCCCGCTCAACACTTCTGCGACCTTATACACGAACTCATCTCTGTTACGTCACGGCGTGGTGGTGGCGCGTCGGACGCACTTCCGGTCTGGGGCTGTGGGCGGAAGTGCCCATTTAAGACGTGTATTCCTGCGTTGTTTTGAAAGGAACCAGACAAAAACCTGCCTTGTCGTCAAAATGCTGCGACTGGGGCTGTACCAAGAGAGTCGAGAAAGGTTTGAAGGTCAGTTTTCATGCGCTCGGTTCGTCGGAGAACGCGGATATGTGCCGTGAAAAGGGAAAACCAGACGCCGTCGGACCATGATTGCTTGGGCGGGAAGCATTTTGGGTTAAATTCACGGATACTACTGGCCATCAAATTTATTTGTTTACTTCCAAAATGAACGCCGGAAAACCGTCAAGTTGTACGGACCACCTGCGGACTACGTTTAGTGCGTCTTCAAGTTCAAACGGTCGTCTGATCGTTCGAACTGTCGTCTGCTCTTTCAAACGTTTCTGCTTGTCGTCTGCTCTTTTAGACGACACCGGCCCGTAGACCAAACGTGGGCCCAGTACTTGCGATAAGAATTAAGTGCAGTCCTTAAAAGACTTAAGTTTGAAGGTTGGTAAGCAGGCTCGACGTAAACAGTAGATACAAGGAGATGTTGATCATTGTTACCAGTGGCCATCACCGACTTGTCATGCCTGATTCACTTGGTTAGATTCTGCTTGCGATTTTCAGTATCGACGTCGACCATCTCAGCTACGGTTCACGCTTTTGCAGTCCGAGCGACGTTGATACTGAAAATTGCGAGCGAAATCTCATCATGTGAATCAGGCTTTAGCGTACGTACTGCGGCGTCCACGCGGAATGAATCGCCGCATGTCAGATTATTTACGCGAAGTTTTGCGGTGTAACGAGCCTCCTTAATTTCGCTGACGCTGCTCAAGTAGTCAGACATCGTTAGGAGGACGTAGAATCAACAGTTCCAATGCGAAAAAGAGCGTGGAAACTCACACCGGCGCCGACAACATCGCATTTCAATGGTTTGCTTATGGGCGACGGCGACCTTCTTGCCCACACCCCCATCGCGCATGCGCGGCGCCGGTGGCGTCCGCTAAAGGCGCTCCGGGCGCTCCGGTTTGTTTGTAAACATGAGTTGGTGTATTTGCGAACTTCAAATTTCAGTTTAGCGTCCCTTTAATAGCGAGAAGGGGAGGGGCTCCTCGGTCGTCGATCGAAAGTGACGGAGGCCCCTCGAAATTTAAAATTGATAAAATCCCCCGGTTTAAAGAATACTATCTATGTTTCCGCATGGTCCTGCAAAGTTTGTATAATCGGGGTTTCGCCGTATCTATTTCCTTCGTATTTATGCTCGCCGCCGGTCAGATCGGGGCGGCCAGGGGGAGAACTCTGCCTCAAAGCACTCGAGTCCAACGGCCTGGAAGAGCAGCGGCCTCTCGAGGTCTCGGTCGTTCCCCAACCTCTCGACGGCTGCGGATGAGGAAGTGCAACAGCTAGCCGAGCGCCAGCCAGACACCTCCGTCATCCCTGGGTTCGACCGCACCCTCAAGCCGTCCCAAAGGTGGGTGTGGCTACGGCGAGCAACAACGGATCTCTTGATCCTCGCGGGCGCGATCGCTTAACCCGTTGAAGGCTAATTTCTTTAAGGTGGGCCGTGTTTTACGGGTCGTTTTCTACGAGAAAGTTGTCGTGAATGAGCGTCGTAACGAGCGTCGTGAACTAGGGACTCGTTGGGAAGTTACGGTCATTAAGGTTATGTATTAGGCGGGGTTCGAACCTGGGTCTGTGTGGTGGCAGTCGGATACTGTAGTCGCCTGGCCGGTAGCACAGCCAGTCTGGAAGAGTAAATTGTTTTTTTTTTAATGTAAACGTGCCGGCTAGAGCAACGGGTTTTAAAAGAAAATACCGAAATAGAAGAATGAATCAAAATTAACTAAATAAAAATAAGCAAAGAGATTGAGCGGCTCTACGCCGCCAGCCAATTGCAGCGGGTGGCGACTTCAGGACGACGCAAATGTGCGAACCAGCGTTTAGAAGGTGACGCAATATGGCTTTGGGTGGACCCTGTGTGACTACCTGTTGCTGCATCGTGCGTCTTCGTCTCTCCGTCGTGGCTTTCGGCGGTTTTTGTTCGTTCTTCCTAAGACGGTGTGGTGGCTGGCCGCTTTGTACCATAGATGCGGCTGCTCGTGCTATTCACTTATTTATATTAAACCAACTTTCCTCTTTTTTAGCTTAGTAAATTTAATCATTTTAAGACTGCATAATGTACTTCTAGTGATCGGCTTGGGGTTGGCAAAATGATTGTTTAATGCAGGATTCACGACAGTTTAATAATAGTTAGTTTTTTTTATTTTCTTCGTGATTCAAGGTAGTTTGTATTTATGCATGGCTATCTCTTATGTTAATAAACCCTGTTCTGCTCTTTGTTTATAAATCACTGTTTACCAAAATGGTATGTTCTAGAACAATTTAAATTACTAGTCAGTTCGAATTCGATGTGAACCTACAGTTGACTACCCTAGAATCCTGGGCAATATTGAGATACCCAGAGGCGGACTTAGCATTTTGCCGCCCTAGGTAGCCTTAACGGTGCCACCCCTCCCCTTACTCGCTTAACCCCTGCTCCTCATGGTAGCAGGGTTTTGGGGGGGGGGGGGAAGTAGTGAAGTTTGGAGTTAAAATTTTCAGAAGTAGCAAGATTTGGAGCAAGAATATTCAAGTAGCTCAATTTGGAGCAAGAATTTTCAAAGTAGCTCAATTCAGAGATAAATTTTAAAAAAAAAGAATGAACAATTAATTTCAGGGTGGCCACAAATTGCCTGCCCGCAAAATTCTGCCGCTTTAGGCAGCTGCCCACTCTGCCTATCGGTAAGTCGGCCCCTTGAGAGACCTGTAGTGAAAAGAGGAAGAGCTCGCTTGGTTAGGACACGAGACCCAAGATGGCAAAACTCTCATAGAAATTCAAGATTGCCAAAATTCAATACGTATTGCCAAAAATGCAATACATATAGCAAAACTCCAATATGGCAGAAAGTTAACTTGAAAAAATCAGTATGGCAAAAATTCAAAATGGCACAAATTCAAGACGGCAGATAGGATGTCAGGACTGTAGCATACACCATGCTGCATTTATTTTTGTTACCAAAGTCTGCCCTCTTGGATTTCTGCAAGATGGCAAACTTTCGAAACAATGCCAAAGAACCCATCAAAAGGTTCTTCAGGATTGGATTCAAAGATTCAGTGGATACACTCGCTGCAGATCTCGACCGTGACTTCGTGAAAAGTGGGTGTGTGCAGAAATGTAATTTTAAAAAAAATGTAGTTTAGAGCTGCACGATGCCTTCACAAAAGTTGACATACGTTGAGAAATGAAGATGGCATTCTTAAATTTTGTATGTATTTTGTTCCTTTTATATTCCTGGTTTAGTGTGGAGGCACCTTCGGCAAGCATAAGTCGGCAGTCCCGTGTACGACCCAACGACCTGTCCAACTCCCGTGTCAGAAGCATCAGTCCGTCATCTGGAAGGGAAGTGAGTGTTGGGATGCACATGATTGATCGATTGATATCCTCGTTCTGTTCACTCTCTCTCAAGTCGCGTCACTGCGGCCCGAGCTGAATTGAATTGAATCTCTGGTGGCTTGGCTCAAGCCATCACAGACCGCTCGCAAGGTTACATATACTTCGGGATGTGCGAATATCCGTGATTTCGAATATGAATAGAATATTTTTCTTATTCAATTCATTTTCGATTTGAGAATTGCATATTCGAAAATTTTACAATATTCAGTTATGGACAAATACCAGGGCAATGTATGGATATTCAGGCGAATAGCGAATAATCCTTTCTTGGGGTTCATTCCCTGAACATTCATAGCTTTCTTAAAAACCGCGTTTAGTCGCCTAAAATTTCAGGTATTGTAGCCATTTGCCGTTTACATTACACATAGAATTGTGTGTTTGCACAATCCTAATGCATCCCCAATTCTAACTCGCAGGCAGAAGTAAATTGCTGCCGATTCTACCGCTCAGGTAAAATAATGAGGGTTGAACACATACCGTATTTATTCGAATATAGGTCGACCTTTTTTTTTTCGGAAATGTTGTCAAAAATTAAGGGTCGACCTAAAATCGTGACCAAAAAATTTCGACCTAATTCGCGACCAAAATTTGAAACGCTACCGAGGGTATGGAGCTATCAATCACCTAGCCGGCGTCGCGGTAGAGCCGCGCGGCTTCTTGCTTCAAAAAGCTTTTGATGCACAAAAACAACCGAACAGCAGCAGCCGACAGCCCGTGGCCGCCGGCTACGGCTCTCGCGCACATTCCCTCGGCGTCGGGTTTCGCCATCATGACTGTAGCTTTCCCCTCGCTGGGCAAGGGGGAAGGGGAGGGAGAGGAACGCGATGCGCCATGCACTTTGCCCTCCTATGCGCTCCATTCCTCCCCTCGCAAGCGCTCACAAAAAAAAAAAAAAAAAAAAAAACGGAGGTACTTTAGTTTGTTTTTTTCGGCGGGTCGCGTGTTGCTCACGGGGCTCGCAGCGTTGCTCGTGTTTTTGTATTTGGTCTTTCGTTGCTCGCCCGTCTCCACTAGGGATGCCGTGAACTTTTTTCGAATCGAAGTTTCGATGATCGAATTAAGCGGTTCGAAAGGTTCGAAAGATTTCGATTTTTCGAATTGTCTATATCGTAAAATTCGACGGAGGTCGAATTTTCGAACTTGTTAAGCTAAGAAGTTCGACGCTTTTCGAACCGTCGAACTTATTACGCTAAAAAATTCGATCTTTTTCGAACTTATTGCGCTGCAAGGTTCGATGCTTGTCGAACTTTCGAACTTGACTGACCAAAAAATTTGATTAATTTCGAACTTTCGAACTTATTTATCAAGAAAATTCGAAACGTTTCGAACTTTCGAATTCTGAAAAGTCAGAAGTTCGACGAACTTCGAACTTTTAGGGTAAAAGTTCGACATTCGTCGAACTTCGAAAGACCGGCGGACGGTTTCATTTGATTTCAAGTAGTGGGGTACATTCGTAATTTTTTTTTCTCGAACTTTTACACGTGGTGCTGCGTTTCTTACGAAAGACAATGTCATTTATTTCAATGTTCTGGCATGCTTAGGTTTAAAGAAATAAATCCCCGAAGGGGCGAGGACGGACGACGGGTTTTTGACGATTATCGTTTGTGCCAGATTTGAAGCACGCTGCAGCCGGAGCTATTTATGGCAGATATGTTATACTTTTTTAAGAATGATCTATGTATAGCCTAGGTAAGTGCCGTCTTAAGATGTGATTATTGTTATTCAACGTGAGTTTCGAAGAAATGTCCAAACATGTATCTGCATGCAATTATGACCTAAACTTGATATTTATTTTCGTCTAAGTTGTTTGAGGTATCGCATTTAAATTAACACCACAGACAGTACATATCATTGCCATCCGCAGAATACAAAATAATATATTTATTGTTTTTTTCACGTTAAGGAATAAATTAACTCATTGCAGAAGATTTCTAGTAGTGTTCAAGTTCAGCACGTCATTAAAAGAAAACGTTTTTTTTTTTTTCGCTTCACGTTCCTGGGACGTGTTTCTTTTAGCCTGTACACATTTTAATAAAAGAAACTTGTTTCGAAGTTCTGAACCTCTGAATATGCAAGAATAGAACACTTCCGACGAATTCTTGATAGTTTTTTTTTTCTCCTGCTTTTTATTCCTGCATTTATTCTTTTTTTTTTTTTTTTCTTTTGTTACTATCGGCACAGGTGTTTAGGGCGAAAAGACATAGCTTTGAACTTCCGAACCACTAAGCATGTGACGAGCAGCGCCTTCTGACAACGAGTTTCTAACAGTGACCATCTACGCAACCTTTTATGCAGTGAAGAGCGACAGTAGCTATACATATGCATAAATAATTTCAGATTAAAATAAGCTCGACCACGCCCTCTTTCCCCGTATTGTTTTCTTTAACAGTCCGAAATACCTGCAAGGAGGAAAAAGAGGCTGAAGCCCCCCCCCCCGCTACCCTCTTTCCCCCCGTTTTTCCTCTTCCGACGCCACTTGTATGGTAGAACGCTCCTCGACCTCGAGTTCTGTCGGCTTTTGTGCTTTTTGCGAGGCGATTCCTCCGTCCCAGAAAATAAACCTCCAGGACAATTATAAACTTCACCGGATCGGATTACTACCAGCGTGCAAGGGGTGGCGAGGTAGTTTGCCAGGTCGCTTCCAGGTTTTTCTGAGCCTCAACCTCCTGCTCGCCCCTGGCCGTTTCGAACTGGATGAGTCTCGTAAAACAGTGCGTTCGTGCAATCACTACTGCGTGATGCAGGTTAAAGACCCCCCCCCCCCCGCCCCCGGGGCTGGCGGTCACAATTCTGCACTGGCAAATATTCTAGCACGTCCGGGACACTCGTGTCTCATTTAATTGCCTGACCAACTTCGCAGAATCTAGATATCACACCCTAACTTTTCTAAACTTGATTTTGTGAAAAGCAGTGAGTCGTGAAAACGTTATTTGAAACTGCAACTGTAGAAAAACTTGAAAATCGGACTTCAAACTTTGAAAACTTGGATTAAAAAAAAAATTCAAAATCTTCGGGTTTTTTTTTTTTTTTTTTTTAATTTAGCGTTAAAAGAGAATCGAAACTTTCGAACTTTTCGAACTTTATGCCAAAAGAAATTCGAAATCTTCGAATTGTTCGAACTTTATGTCTATAAAAATTCGAAGCGTTCGAAGTTTTCGAATTTTTTTTACAAAGAATTTCGAAATCTTCGAATTTATCGAACCTGAAGTAAAAAAATATTCGAAATATTCGAATTCGAAATTTTAGAAACCGTGAAAGCTTCGAAATTTTCGAATTCGAAACTCCGCTGTGGACAAAAGTTGCGAATTTTTCGAAATCGAACCTCGGTCGGTACAAAAATATCGAAATTTTTCGAAATCGAACCTCAGTTCGCTTCGCAAATATCGAAACCTTTCGAATCGAACCTAGGGTGGTTCGCGACATCCCTAGTCTCCACCTTCTTTCGTTTCTTCTTGTCGTCATTTTACAACGGTGTCGGTGAGGTATTGCTGCCAATTTGCGAGGATGTCTACCAAGCTGACGAAGCTTCGGACGATGATATGTCCGGAAGTTCTGACGATGAATAAGTTTTTGACATCGCCCTGTGATTTAGCTGAGAGTGCTGTAAATAAAGGTTTGTTTCTTTTGCCCTAACTTTCCCCTGTTTCTTAAAAAAAAAAAAAAAAAGTAAGGTCGACCTATATTTGAATTATTTTTTTTTTATTCTCGGTGGGCTCAATAAATAGGGGTCGACCTATTTTCGCGGTCGACCTATTTTCGGGTAAATACGGTACCTCACCTCATAGAACAGATTTTATGAAATGCACAGCAACACAAAAATAAATGCTATGCACTAGTCGCCATTGTCGGAGTCCGACGATGGTTCTTTGCTCTCCGCAAAGGTAATCCTTGTTTTCATCTAAAGCGTTTTAGATGTCGCGCTTTTTGTACAAGTGCGCGACCATTGCCTCTGGGATGGTCGTCTTCCACTTTGCGAGCTTGTTGAGTCACTGGGACCGAGAGGCCACGCAGTGCTGCTCTATTGTTATCCTTCCCCTCAGCATGTTGGCTATTTGTTTAAATAAAACTTCCTAGTGGAATTCCTTTTGTCTTTCCATCTTATTGACAGACACGAGTCCATAGACGCGCGAGAATTTTTGTGATAAGGATACCAAAATGGTGAATTTTGGTATCCTTATCACGGTCACGATGGCGATGGGGCTAGTCACCTTATATACCGTATTTACTCGCACAATGAACGCACTCGCGTAATGAACGCACCCCCCAAGTCGGCTCTCAAAATTCCGACTTTTTTTTTTCACTCGCGTAATAAACGCACCCCCTACTCGAATGTCAAAATTTTTACCCCCTCCCCCCACGCGCGCAAAATGAACGCACTTTTCTATCATGGTGCAGCAAGGTCGCGAATACATGGGCAGCGTGGGCGAACAAAACGCCTTGCCAAAAAAAAAATTCGCAAAGATCCAACGGAAGCAAGAAAAAAAAAACATGGAGAGGACCTTCTTTTTTTTTTTTTTTTTACATAGCGCAGTCTGGACATTGGGTTCGCGCGCCGCCGCGCGCAAGGAGGTAAGAAAGAGAAGCGGAGAAGCGCTCTAAGCGAACGAAACAGCTTGCGAAAGGCGGCAAAAAGAAAGAAAAAAAAAAAACCACGGAATTAAGAGAAAACAAAGAGGAGCTTTTTTTTTCACAGCGCAGTTTAATTTTGCAAAGGCGGCAAAAAAATAAAAAATAAAAACCACCGAACTGAGACAAAAAAGAAAAAGAGAAACTTTTTTTCTTCTTGTTTTTTTTTTTTTTTTGCACAGGGCTGTTTGGTTACCTGGGGTCGTGCGTCGCGCGCCGCGCGCAAGGAGGTAAGAAAGATAAGCGGAGAGCCCCCGCCTAAGCAAACTAAACAACTTGCGAAAGGCGGCAAAAAAAAAAAAACTTAAAGGGGCGGTGCAATGATTTTAACACTGAAAGAATGTGCAGCTTGTATTTTTTATATTGTTTACTTCGGCATAAGTAAGAGAAAAAGTGCCACCATACCCCAAAATACCTCTATTTCGCTGCGTAATCGCAAAATAAAAAACACTTTTTTTCCCAACCGGCGGCCACATGGTGGACGCAAATGGAACCTGTGGTGTGACGTCATTCGGAGTGGTTTTTGTAAGTGATAGTGTTAGGCAATTGTAAGCTTGATTTAAGGTTAAGTTTAAAAAATCTTGTTGTTTAGGCATGCAGAAACGCTTCAAAAGCCTAATATTGCCGCTAAAAGATTTGTGGCGCCATCTACCGCAAGTCAACCAAACCTGCCGTCGCCGTCATCCGTCGACGCCCGAGGCGCCTACGGCGGCTACACGAGCAACCCGGACGTTTCGTCTTTCCCTCGCTCGACGGAGTGCGTTGGTCGTGGTCCGTAGTATCGTGGTATCGTTATTGTTCCTGGTGTCTCGACCTCGACTTCGACTGCCCGCCGCGTCGACTGCCCGCCGCACAAGTCCAACTGACTTACTATACGCAAGCATCTTGTGCTCGACGTCGCTCAGGCCGTCCGCCCATGCCGCCATGTTGGTCGGGAATCGACGGGAGAGCGGGAGAGCGGCGAGCCTGGCGAGCCGGCGAGCGCTGGGGAAACGGAAGCCAGAAGCACCCGACCGGAAACCAACGCCACTCCGAATGACGTCACAGGCGAAGCTGGTGCCGCTTTAATGTTGAGTTGAGGGGTGCCAGAGATACCAATTTCTTTTATTTTTTTTAATGAAAACTAGGGCAAGCAGGAAAGAATAGTTTTCGGTCCTTCGTTTTATATGTGGCCGGGATCAATTCCCACAATTAATTAGCCAAAGTCCGCAAATTGTTGCACCGCCCCTTTAAAGGGGCACTGACACATCAAAATCATATTTTTTTTATTATCCGAAACGATTGAAAACGATGCCGGGACATTACCCTCAAAATTTGAAATTTGGGAATTCAGTATTTGTGAAGTAAAAAGACAATTTCCAAATGCCGAATTCGAAGTTCCCGCGCGATCGGCGCCGGTGCCTTGACGTCAAAAATTGCGGAGCCCTGAGAGTCCACTTTCTTTCACCACCCCCTGCTGTTGCCATGGCGACCCAAAGCGAGGAGGAAAGGAGTGAGCAGCGGCGTTGCGGCGGACCGGTTTTGAGCGGTGTCGCCTGTTTTCCGTTGGAGGATACAAATCCAGGAGACGGCACCACAACGAACTCCCGATTTTTGGTATTTCAAAAAGAAGGGCCGTAGTGCGTTCGCAATTGCGTTAAAAAACATGTTTTAGGATTGCCGTAATTAAATGTTATAGAGATGTCGCCTACAAAGCTTCTAAATTTCACGATTCTTGACGTCACCGATCAAAAGAAGCGAGGAGGCCAGAGGCGGGAAACTCAAACACCAAAAATAAAAAGCCGCGCGCGCGCGCACGGGAACATTTTTTTTTGCGATGCGTTTTTTTTTGCGTGTCTATGACTGCAACTTGCATCGTTTTAGACAATAAAAATAAATACGACCTTAGGGGTGTCAGTGCCTCTTCAAGGAACTAAGAGAAAAAGAAAACAAAGGAGTTTTTTTTTTTTTTTTTGCACAGCTTAGTTTGGTTACGGGGTCGGGCGTCGCGGGCAGAGATAAGAAGTTACTTCGATTTTTCAGGATAAAACGTCCATTCATTAAGCGAGTAAATACAGACGCAAAAATTTTACTTCGCGTAATGAACGCCCCCCCCCCCCCCCCCCCCCCCCCAACTTTGCATCGATTTTTCGGGAAAAAAAAGTGTGTTCATTCTGCGAGTAAATACGGTAGATACGGCAATTTTGTTTTGAGTTTCGGTTTTTGGTTTTATTAGGATTTAAAGGGAAACGAAGCATTTCTGTGTTTGAGGAAAAACACCTCAAGTGTCCTCATTTGGCTGCCAGGATCACAAATATCGAGATTACTTTTCAATTCGGTGCACGGAGGGTGCAGAAATTAATTTTCAAAGTACGAGAAATGCACGTTTTTAGTTAGGCTTCGAAATGAACTAAATACGCTGCGCGAACGAAACGGATGGACAGAACGCCGGCGGCTCTATTGTCCTCTAGTGGCCGTTCTGTACACCACACTCGCCAGATTACACGCCCTTTCCCCAGAGTATTGGGTGCATTTGGCCATATGGGCCAGTTGGGTGGCCCGTTTCACCCTTTGCGCTTTATCGGGGGCCCGTTTCAGCGCGTGTGGTTCCCAAAATCTCCTTTGGGACCCAAAAGTTTGTGCCGAATTGTCCATGAAGTTTTTTTACAATGAAATATCGGCAAAGGGGACTTCGATTCATAGAGGTAAAAAATATATGGCATGTATACACTTGCGGTAAGAAAGTTCAATACATCGAGGTTTGACTGTAGTAGTTACTTATCTAACTGCTAGGAATGCAGGCAAGATCCAAATATTCCAAACCATTTCTCAAGCACCAGATGAGGATAATGATGGGAAAAGAAGTAAATCCGGTAAAATCATGACGTTTCCCGTGATGTATAAGTTTCTATTTGTTTTTTTAGAATTTAAACATTCTGATTTGTAATTCTGCACATTAAGTATGGGGTTGTTGATGTTCTCAAACTGATTGGAGCTTTATCATCCTTTGAATACTTCCTGCTTTCTAGTCTTGTCTGAAACTGTGATCCAATAATTCCAAAACTCGGAAGTAAGAAATCTTGCTGCTTTTAAAGTTTTGCATCGTCCATCATCTTTTTCTCCCCCGCCCCCGGGTATCCTGGTTAGAAATGATTTTAATTCTTTCCAAGATTTTCACTGCGTCTGTAACTCAGCAATTCCTTTCTGAGTCTGTGGAAGCAATGCAGGAATTTGTGAAAAAGATGGAGTTGCTAAGAAGCATTTATGATTATGGTCCACTTCTGGTTCAAACTTTCTTTCAACAAAAATTAAAATTATAGTGTCGTAAACTGAGCAAGTACAAAGCCTTTTTTTTCTTTTTCAGGAATTAGGTAATGGCATCGTGATATGGCACTGAGAAAAAGCAAACAGTTACGCTTGTTGATTGAGAATTCTTGTTTAATTTGAAGAGGTACTATTTGCAAGCTAATCTTTGAAATGGCATTCAGAAACATTTGGGTAATATTTCTTCTGCCTCATTTCTTTGCACAGATCAAGCGTCTGGCAGGACTGAAGAACCTGGGCAACACATGCTATATGAATGCCACTCTGCAGTGCCTTGCCAACACCGTTCCATTGGCGCTGCACTTCCTCTCTGGCAAATACCATGCTGACATCAACAGGTGTGTTGTGGCCACTATTACATTACCGTTTCAAACAAAGGCACGGCATTGACATACCGACCGACCCGCTTTTATTCGTGGGCATTTTTTATGGCGGGAAATAGCAAAACATTTCTATCCTCTGAAATTTACCTTTCCTGTTTCCAGTCAAAAGACCCAAAGTGGGTGAAAGAAAAAAGTTGGATTATGCCTTGAATGTACATTAATTGAACTGAATTCTTCTTTACCATGCTCTTAGTGCCATATAACAATGTGCAAAAAGCAAAAAAAAAAAATCCTACAAGCATGTTTTGAAGGTATTTTTGTTTAGAATTTTATATGTCAGCCCATTTTATTTAAATGACAAAATATGAGATTTAAAAAGTAGGGAACAGAAACCAATGTGTGATTAGAGGAGCACACATTGCACCCACCATTGAATTCGGCAGCAGCTTGTGCCACCTGGCCAACTATGAGGTTAGCATTAGACATGAGGGCTCCTGACGTAAACATTTTTTTTTGTCAAGAGGTAGTGATTTTTTTACACCACATTGACAATTTGTTTTTGCATCCGTGGATAAAGTTATTCACAGTAGCGTTCTGAGAGCGATCTATTTGTAACAGTCATTTGGGCAGGTGGCGGGTCTCATACCTGTGCAAAGTATTGTCTGGAAAACAGTGTTGCCGTGGACAATCCTTATCTTAAAAATAGTTTTTTTTCCCCCACAACTTTCATTCTACTTCTGCGAGCCATGCAGTGCCGATCTCTACAATGCTGTCATGGAGTTTTATGTGAATTCGAAGCATTTGCAATATGTATAACATGCCAAAGCCTGCACCGCACACCCAAAAGTTGCAAAAGTTGAGGCAATGTTGCGGGACCCTCTGCAGGGAATCGAGGAGAGGCACGGGAGGCGAAGCTGCCAACGAATTCAAAAATCTGGTTGCCCAGATGTACTACAACGACAAGAGCGTGGCTCCCAAATCTTTCAAGGCAAGTTCTTGCCTGGGCATTTCTGTCTGATCTGGACGAGTAGAGACCGTCCTTTTCACCACTTTGGGAGTGATTTGCGTCAGTTCCAGGTTCCTTCTGGAGCTTCGCAGGTGCAAAGTTTATTGACATTTGTCCGTTTCGATCGTCGATGCGTGCCAGTTCAACGAAGGAATTGTTTGGACAAGTGGGACATTCAAAATTGCAACGTGCCCGGTTATGGTGGCGGAGTTAACTCCGGTAAAAACTGTGCATGCTGTGATATTGCAGATGCCGATGCTCGAGTTCACGCTCACATTTTTCCTCGACGAGTTTATGGCGAGTGTGGAACCTCGCGATAAACCACTACTTTACGAGAGTCACTGACAAAACTGTGCCTCTGTCCAGTTGGCAGTACCATGTCGGAAGTAAGAAGGTGCCGGCAGATGCCTCGTTCTGCCTACCTATCTCCGCTACCAGACCAGAGCAAATGCCCAAAACGCAGATTATTTGCTAAAATGCAGATTATTTGAGCTTTCAAAGTATTCCGAAAAGTCGCCACTTCCATTTTCAATGTCCAGTGCGAAAAAGAGTTTTTGCACGATTGCAAAAGCTCGTTGTTTACCAACCGCATTCCCGGGAGGCCGTGGTCGTGACCAACTTGCCGGCAAAGGGTCTGATTTGCAAGCATCCCTTGCAGTCTCTGATGGGGCGGCTGTTCAACGTGTATGCCGGCTACGAGCAGCAGGACGCGCATGAGTTCCTCCTCAACCTGATCGACAAGCTTCACGAAGACCTCAACAAGGTGGGTTGAGCAGTTATCGCCGCACGACGGCCGGCTCCCGGTAGTTTCCGGTTTTGCACTCTGGCACAACAACCTCATTATTTCGGAGGTTTCGTCCATGCTCGCAACCCCTCTCTTTGTGGTCCTCATCCTAGTCCACGGTTCTGGTCGGTACAGGCAAACCAGCGGCGGGTTCCCCCGGCGTCGCTGCCGCCAGCAGACGAAGCGTCGTTGTCGCTGAGCGCGCGCATCAACCGCTTCTGGAACCAGCACACGGACCGCCACTTGTCGGTGATCTCGGACCTGTTCGAGGGCCTGCTAGCCTCCACCCTGACCTGCCTTTCCTGCCACAAGTCTTCGAGCAGCTTCGAGGCCTTCTCTTGCCTCTCCCTGCCTATCCCCCACGGAGGGGCATCCGGCTGCTACCTCCAGGCAAGGCACTCCCTCGACTACGAGACGCGTTTCAATGCGCGACGGGCTGTCAAACCCGATTTAGTTGAACCTGAGTGTTTGGAAATATTGTCTATTTCGAACGGTTGAAACAACATTCCCTTGAAAATCTCACTTAAAAGTATACATGCCTCGTGTGTCTGTATCGAACTCCACCACCTAGGACATTCGATACATTGGACGGCACACTGCGCCCCTGGCAAGGTAAAAAAAAAGAAAAGAAAATCCTGATTTATTTTGTTTAAATTAGATTTATTTGATTTAAATGGGATTAATTTTATTTAAATTATCGTACCACAAAAATAGTGATTCTTTATTGCAAAATGTATTTTTAAACGTGGCAGATTAATTTACCAATCCATCCAATCACCGAAATAGGAAGAAAAAATTACTGTAAATTTAAAATGGTTACACATTTTATTGATGCAAACCTGTCATAAGAACAAGAACAGCTTGAATTTTTTTTTAGTTAGAAAGCTCTACAGTCGAGCCTTGTTATACAGTATAGACCACTTACAACATAACCGCTTATAGTGCAAGACCGAGTATAACGGGGGGGGGGGGGGGGGGGGGGAGGTGGTGGCATGGGCACATAAACATAAACATTCGGAGTTTATCAGATAAATTCGAATTGACCAAAATTTTACCGGCGGGTGTTTTTCGGAGTTTTTCGGATTTATCCGAAAACACGGAGCCCTAGTTATAGCGAGGTACCGCTTATAGTGCGGATTTTCGCGACTCTCGCGACATACGTTATATGCGGTCTACACTGTATCATACTTGGGTATTTTTTCGAATTATTGTTTATATCAAACAGTCCAAACATCCCGTTGAAAATCACATGTAATAGTACCATACCCAGGTAGCACGCCAGAGGAATGCCCAACTTGGGCAAAGGTCTGGCAAACATAAGGGCCCAACTTTGGCGCAGTTCGGTTTTTGCACCATGGCATTCATCAGTGCCAAAGTACGGTGCCTAACTATAGCCTAAGTTGGGCGATCCTATGGCATGCCAAAGTTTGGCTCTTCTCCGGTACGCCAGAGGAGTGCCAAAGTTGGTGCCATACTTGAGCCATAACTGCCATAGTAAATCCTAATCTGGGAATTCGGGGCATGCCAAGGTTTGGCATTTCTCTGGTCTGCCAGAGGAGTGCCAAAGTTGGTGCCATACTTCAGCCATAACTGCCAGAGCAACGCCTAATTTCGGTATTTGGGACGTGCCAAGGTTTGGCGTTCCTCTGGTCCGCCAGAGGAGCGCCAAAGTAGGTGCCATACTTCAGCCATAGCTGCCAGAGCAACGCCTAATTTCGGTATTTGGGACGTGCCAAAGTTTGGCTTTTCTCGGGTCCGCCACAGGATTGCCGAAGTAGTGCAATACTAGAGCTATAACTGCCACAGCAATGCCCAATTGGGGTATTTTGGACATGCCAAAGTTTGGCGTTGCTCTGGTCCGCCAGAGGAGCGCTAAAGTTGGTGCCAGATTTGAGCCATAACTGCCATAATAAAACCTAAACTGGGAATTCGGGGCATGCCAAGGTTTGGCGCTTCTCTGGTCCGCCAGAGGAGCGCCAAAGTTGGTGCCATACTTCAGCCATAACTGCCAGAGCAACGCCTAATTTCGGTATTTGGGACGTGCCAAGGTTTGGCGTTTCTCTGGTCCGCCAGAGGAGCGCCAAAGTTGGTGCCATACTTCAGCCATAGCTGCCAGAGCAACGCCTCATTTCGGTATTTGGGACGTGCTAAGGTTTGGCGTTTCTCTGGTCCGCCAGAGGAGCGCCAAAGTTGATGCAATAATTCAGCCATAACTGCCAGAGCAACGCCTAATTTGGGTATTTCGGACACGCCAAAATTTGGCGTTTCTCTGATACGCCACAGGAGTGCCGAAGTGTGCCATACTTGAGCCATAACTACCAAAGCAACGCCTAATTTCGGTATTTCAGCCTCGCCGAGTTTGGCTTTTCTTTGGTCCGCCACAGTTGTGCCAAAGTAAGTGCCAGACTTGAGCCATAACTGCCGCAGTAAATGTTAATTTGTCGATTCGGGGCAAGCCGAAGTTTGGCTCTTTTCTGGCTACCCACTGAAGTGCCAAATAAGTGCCAAAAGTGGCAAAGAAAGCCGAGAGGCCAGCCCAAGTTTCGAATATCTCTGGTGTGTCACAGAAGTGCTCTTTTACGCGTCCCAGGAGAGAAATAAAATAAATAAGCGTTGGAAGCACGATAGTAAGATGTTATCACCTCCGTTCCCAAGCAGCACGGCAATACTTTGCAGTATCGTGCCAGTGCCGGCCGAAAGTCGGTTACAATATCGCTCAACTGTCCAGTTTTGCACCACCGTTTGATACCCGGCAGGTATTGCCGTACAGCTGTTTCGCCCCGGCCTAGCGTTCGCGTAATATTGTGCGAAAACTCTACGATGCGTCTGCTTCGTATTGGCCGAACGTCGTGCAAGTATGTGTACGTTACATGTCATTTGTTGCATATCCAATCACTTATACGGACAAACAAATTTTTTCGATCGCTCCCAGAAGTTTATTAACCAAATATCATTACACACAGTGTATTCTCAACATATTTACAAAGGTCACACTTCTCTGTAAAACGAAAAGCAAATTATAAAATACAATTAACACTGTCCTCATGCCAAGCAAAACTCATCACACGTAAAACCGCGGAGAATGAAAGGAAAGCAGGGCGACTATCAGAATCATGCTTGCAGTGCACTTACTAATAAAAGAGCGATATCATGTAATCCTTGATAGATGCATAATCCAACTCAGGCACCCCACAAACACATTCGAGGAAGAAGGTTGCGCACATTCAACTGACGTCTCGTCGTCGGCGAAGAGCAGTTTTTGTCGAAGCGTGTCCAACAAACACATCACAAGTATTCCACGAACTCCGGTGCAAAAAATGACTGTTACCGAAAAATTGGCATGGACGTATTCCGACCGTTTACGACGAAAAAACACGGCCACGTCTGCAACGCACGAAAGCAACAGAACACTGAAGAGCCCAGTTCGAAAACCGGACCTACGTGGCCTGCTTATTTCTATAACTAGGCAAACGGCGAAAACGACAGCCCCAGAGATCCCATCAGCGTGACAGAAAACGTCACGTGACAAATTTTCGTCCAAACTTTTTTGTCCTACGCGTCCTATGTAGAGAAGTCACGCTGAGTAACGCGTTTCGCTTCATCCTTTTGATTTGCTTAAAGCGGCTGTCGCGCTCGCTGACAGCCACACGAAGACGCAAAAGCAGGTGGGGAGGATTTGCAAAAGGCGAGGTCGAAGGGGCATCAACAACGCATAAAAGGAAAGGCCGCTTCTGCCGGTGACCTTGTCGCCTTGCCTAGTCTGTCAGCGTTCGGCTTCCATTAAAGGGGTCATGAAACGCTTTTCCAACTTTTTCCTGTTTCGCTTTCCTCCTGAACTCATAAATCGCGCATTCCACCAAACAGTTGAAGAAGACGAAAAGGGGGAGTCCCCTCTTGCTCGCACTCCCGTTTGTGTAATCCCGGACACATCCATTCTCCCCCTAGAAGATTAGCCCGTCGCTCAAAATTCAGACAAAAGTCGCTTTCCCCACACCGTTCATTCCGAAGCTGACAGTGCTGTTGAAGCTACGTGCTCGTTGGGCCAGCCACACTTCCCACGTGAGCGTGGCAAATGTGGCTGCAGAGAATGAAGTCAGGTGATGAAAGGGAGGCGGCTGATTGGTCCGGCAAGCGTGTAGCTTCCACCACAATGTCAGCTTAGGGGTGAAGGGAATAAGTGAGGTCCGGTTGCGCGTGACGTCAGTTTGGACCCGATAACGCGCTTTTGGGACCGCGGTTGTATCACAGTGAAAAGGCAGAGAGGTTGCGAAGGGGAGGAGGTACGAAATAGTCCGCTCTGTTTTCAAATTTTCGCACTGAAAGTCAGGCTTTTGACTTTCTACCTTTTTCTTTTGGTCCACTGAACGATGTGCTATTAGTAAAATCCCAATCTAAAATGATTTATCCCAACCCAAAAATCGTTTCATGGGCCTAAGAAAGATAATCTCCTTTCTTGAGAGCGAAATGGACGGGGTGGTTATGTTTTCCGGGCTTGTCGCCATCCGATAGGCCTCAATATTTCTCTCCCCATTTGCTCGCAGTGGCCTCCCATGGCTGTCGTGCCGGTGAAACTAGGAGCGCAAAAATACTCCACAAGCCGGGCGAAGACGTGATAAATGTAATAACAAAAACGGCTTGACATCACAAAAATAACAATTTAATTAAACGTTTCGCCTCCCATGCGGGAGGCATCTTCAGTAGAGCGCAGAGCGAGTGAGAGTCGCACAAAAAAGTTCGGTTATTTAGGCATAAAGTTTGTGTACACGTCCGGCAGGGGGCCACGGTTCTTGTTTACCAGCGATGAATCACTTCCGCGTTTGTCGTTCTGGATGAACCAAGATTCCAGCAGCTTCCTCGGTTCCCACCTTTTATCCCCCTCCAAGGTGGATGCCTTGTCAATGTCAAATTGGTGTCCTGACATCCATGCGTGGTCGACGAGTTCGGACATGAAGCGGGTGGCGGTCCCGTGCGTGTTCTTTTAGTCTTGTTTTTCTTTTTCGTCTCGTCGCTCCAATGTAGGAAGCGTCACATTCCTTGCACTGTACCTGGTAAATCACGACCCTTTCTGCCTCTGGCAGGGTCGGATCTTTTGGCTTGGAGATAACATTGGCGATTGTTCTGTAGGGTTTGTATACAGTTCGTACCCCCAACGGCCCAAGGCCGCGTCCCAATGCCTCCGAAACCCTTAACGTAACGTGTTCGTTCGGCTCGATCCAGGCGCCGATGGGACATTTGTTTGTTGGTCAACAAGAACGCATTGGTCTTAATGAGTTGAAGTCAGACAGCTCCATCATGATTTTAAAGGCCGACAAAGGAAAAAGAACCGTTGTGCTTGATAGGGATGACTACACGAAGAAGATGTATGAAGTTATAAACGACAGTCACTATTT